CTTTTATATACTTTCACAGTGATTTGTGGAATGTTTAATGAGTTTATTTTGTTTATGGGGTTAATATTGTTAGGGCTGAGGAATTTATTGCACTTGTTTCACTGGGTAAGATGTCAATTTTGGATTTGGTCACCTTCAGAAAGTAAGAGCCACCAGCCACCCGCTCTTACTTACTCATTATGGTATAAGCCTTCAGAATAAGAGCTGCTATCACAGCGGTATAAATAATCTTCTCTGGGCTCCAGTGTAAAATATGAACCAGGGTTTGAGGTATTTTTTTTTTAAAAGCAACACAATGCAATATACTGTGAGCATGACAGCTCGTGCAAAGTTATAAGCACACCATAATGATGCTTCCATTGGTGCAATAAGGGAGAATGATATGCACTAGTATATCAGAGTCTCAGCTTACCAAGTGCTATGAGCCTGGTTGTGGCTGACTTCTTTGCTACCCTATTTCTATGCCACTGTAATAATATTATACAGTGGCATACTGTATGTGATTCCTCATGCAGCAGTGAATTGCAGGCAAGTATGGCCAGTATCTGGCTTAATAGGAGACATATTGAGTCAAAGACTTCTATTATTTAAGAGAATCAGCAGTCTTACAAGGTATGTGGGATGTGTACAACTCTGTGTGAGTCAGCTGAGCTTCAGCTCAAGGTAAATCAGTAGTTCATGAGCACAGATATTAATCATTGAAATGGGTTAGATTTTCTATGTAAGCATTGTGTTTCTATAGGAAAGTTGGTAGCTTTCTGAATTTGCATATGTAAAAGGTGGGACGTTACCAAAAATTCTGAAACTTTCAATATTGTTGGTGTTTGTTGAATATGATTTTTATTCTTTATTTTTTATTCTATTTTTAAATTCTCCTTAGGACACTCAAGTGAAAGCCTGGGGTCTACCTGGTAAGTTATAATGGTGCCCCATAAATTAAGTTTGCCTGAAACCACAACAACCACTCAGATGTCTTCTTTTGTCTTCTGAACTGCACCACAGAAATGTTAGGTAGAATCAGACACGCTCCCAGGCGAGACTCTGACATACTTCCTTTCTCTCAGGCACTGTATAATGGAAATTAAATTCTACTGACAGAGAAGGTGAATTAGGAATTTCTTCACATGTGCATAGTGAATTCTGTACCTAGGAATATAGGGTTATTCAGAGGACACAAAGAAGAGGATGATACATTCCGTATTTATTAGGAATCCTTTAGAACTTTTAGGTTGCTTATTCTTTTTTCATATTCCGTTATTCTATTCAGTCACTCATTGACATTGCATGTAGACATGTGCATCAGTGTCTCCATACAGAAATGATAAAAAAAATTACGATTTTCTTTAGTTTAGTCAGATTTTCTGATCCTAAGTCCAAATGATACCTTATTTTATCTCCTTGACGCTCACATTATCTCAGCAACTGGTGAGGCAGAGACCATAAGGCTGGATTTACACTGCTCTGTGTGCATGCAGCACATATGGACATGCTTAGGTGTAAATAGACCCACAAAGTCTTCCTTTCTCTTTCACACCTGCAGCTCATAGATGTGGACTAGCTCTATAGGATGAATGGGATTTGTGCTTGAAATGCATTTCAATACTGCAAAATTCATGAGTTTTGCTCTGTTAAAACAGATAACATAAATAGGCCCTCAAAGTCTTTGCAGCTGATTTTCTGTGTCTACATATTCAAGGTGCAAGCTAACTGACAGGGAAAAGGGTGATGCCCAGGAGCTTATGTGAACTATGCACTTAATATAATGACATTTTAAAGGTATTTTATTGAGGGTACACCTGCCTAAGTGGGTGCCAAGAATCAGGAGTTGTGACATTATAATTAACCTGCTGTGAAATACAGTAACATAGCATGACTACACAGACAGACTGGTGCTCTTCCACTGCTGTCCATAGAGTGATACAACCAATAATAGAACAAGGTTATTGCTATCAGCAAATGTAGGAGGGAAGAATGTCTCCACATTATTGTACAGAGTTCAAAAGCTAAAAGAAATGTATATTTGTCGGGCAGTCTCATAGTTCCACTCACTTATTCAGACTATAAAGATATAAATTACGGAAATTAAGGCCAAACATTATTACAGTATATTAAATAGTTTTTGCCAATGGGGGAGGGTTGGCAGTACCTAATGCTAGACTTTATTTTTAGCCTCCCAGCTACATCATTGATATGGTTGGAATTAAGTACATTTACATGATCCCATAAAGGGTATTTTTTGTCACAATTCCCTATAGCTCCACTTGAACACCAGGTAGTGTCTTACCATTTTAAAGCAAACTGTATTTTCCCAACGTTTCATCTGATACATAAATTATGGACCACGGTACAGGATATTACTGAACATACTGGTTAAACTAAGCACATGTCACTGTGGGATTAAATGGGGGTTAATAAGGGACCTATACTCCACCCTCCAGACAGCAGTTAGTGACGGGACTCAGGTGAACAGTCTTACCACTTGGCAACAGGATATAGTGTCATTCAATGATAAGGAGTGGACCCAGGCCTTGGAAATGTTACCAAAAGTTTCTCTTTCCCATTTACAACGCCTGAGTCAATTGTTCATGCTACATAGATTACACTATGCCCTATTGAAATTCCACTTTTGCCCTAGATGTGCCGCAGCAAATGGATCTCTTATACATATGTTGTGACGCTGCCCAAAATCACATTGCGTTTGGAAATTTATGTTTGATACCTAGAGTTCTCCATGCTCCACTCAGGTAGTAATGGACCTCAAATTAGCCCTATTAGGCATTATTGTAGAGGGGGTACTACCTGAAGAAATGCATTTCATGTGGACACACTTTATTTGGCCCATAAACTTATACTGCAGAAATGGGTCTCACACATACCCCCCACACTCACTCAATGGCATGATGCCATTACCTTTGCACTATGTAAAGAGGAGCTTATTTATAAAACACAGGGCATGCCCGAAAAAGTATTAAAAATCATGGTCCTGGTGGCTGGAATCCAATAAACCCCCCTTGCCTCTCTGGTTCACAGGACAAAGAGGCAGATGGTTGACAGTAAAGGTAGAGCCAACATGATATGAGCTTAAGTTGTGGAGATGGTTAACATAAAATTGGGGTAGAGAGTAAAGATAGCAAACACATTCTAGTACTTATGATATAGCTTTACTGGTTGCTGTCCATAGTTAACTTCTCTTTTTCTCCAATGACTGTTGAGTGTCTCATACACAGCGGTAGAAACAGCTTTATGTACCTGTCCAGCATATCCACCTATGTGCTATTATCATAAAACATTAGCTTTATTACTCAATTTTATTGACACTGCAGCATGGATTCAGTCATCTCACATTGTGAATTCAACACTTATTAAATATGAATAAAACAAACAAACTAGACACGCATGTGTTAATTAAAATAACCACATCTGGACGCATATAGAATCATGCATGGGTAGCATACCGCTACAAACCACTGCCTCAATGCGTAACAATATCCTAAAAGAGTATGGGGCAGAATTAATCTAACACACAGAGTTCACATCTTTTATCAAAGACATATTTTTCCAAGAAAACCTGTAAATCCATCTCAACATTCAAACCTAATGGTGTTAAAATTTGTAACTTATAGAACCAACTTTTCTCTTTGTAACAAAATACAATCAAAAAACCCCGTCTTTGGTGAATCCTGAGCACATAAATGCCCTTTACTTTTAGATCGGTTAGTTTACCTTTATGGTCAAGGGCAAAATGTCTAGCTAAAGGCTTTTCAGGGTTCTGTTCCCTTATTTCCTTCATATGTTCTCCTATTCAAACCTTTAAGGGGCGTTTAGTTTTTCCTATATAGAATTTATCACAAGGGCAAATTATCATATAAACAACTCTTGTAGTACTACATTTTATTAGATTCTGAATTTGAAACCTCTTTTTATTCACACTATCATGAAATGTATCAGTGTGATTTACAAAGGGACTTATCTGGCATTTTCCATTAGCAAACATGCCTTTAGATTGAGGGTATTCAGTGAGTCAATTCTGGGTTGGTTTTTTAACAAATTCTGATTGCATAAGAATATCTTCTAGGTTACGTGCCCGACATGCTGTCATTTTGGCCCTACAATTTGCAATAAACGTGATACCTGAACGTGATAGAAAAAGTATTTTACAGGTCAAGGAAAAAAAAGACGTCGTAAGCAATGAGGGGAACATTGTTCGATTAATAACCCAGTATGGGGCCCAGTGGAATAGGGTACGTGATGTTCTGCAAAAACATTGGGGCATTCTAACTAATAATCCAAGTTTATTGCAAATAAATATGAAGTGGCATTAGAGCACACTAAAAGGCAGCATGAAATCGAAGGAAGTGAGAAGAATTGATGGGGAAATAAAACTGACAGAGGTTCTAACCTTTCCCCATACACAGACAGAAAGCATGGGAAAATCTCCCCAATGTGAAAACAGATAGCAAAAAAATCAATAGGGTTTCTAACCCTTCTTGACCTTGGTTTTCTGTTTTGTCTGTATTTATTGGTTACAAGGACCACACCAAAGATGGATAGCTGGATAACTTTAATAATTACTTACTTTTATTATTGTTTTGATGATTTCTAACCCTTCCCCAGTTTATTAAAAATAAATAAACATACACTCACCGGCCACTTTATTAGGTACACCTGTTCAATTGCTTGGTAACACAAATTGCTAATCGGCCAATCACATGGCAGCAACTCAATGCATTTAGGCATCTAGACATGGTGAAGACGACTTGCTGAAGTCCAAACCAAGCATCAGAATGCGGAAGAAAGGGCATTTAAGTAACTTTGAACGTGGCATGGTTGTTGGTGCCAGATGAGTTGGTATGAGTATTTAACCGCCTCCCGCCCGCCATATAGTACAATGACGGGCGCAAGGCGGTTCTCTCGTTCTGGCTGGACATCATATGACATCCTCCCATTCTAACGGCGCATGCGCGGCTCCGGGACACAGCGGATCACCGATCAACAGAAAGAGCCGAAGATGTTGGCTCGGCCATTTGATCAACTGTGTCCAATCACAGCTGATCACATGTAAACAGGGAAATACCGGTTATCGGCATTTCTCTGCTCACGAGCTGTCACACTGACAGCTCGTGAGGAGAGGAGAGCTGGTAATCAGCATTCCTCGGAGGGGACATGTACACAGATCATCAGGGCACTGATGATCAGTGTGCCCTGATGATCTGTGTAGCCCCAGCAGTGCCACCTGTCAGTGTCCATCAGTGCCAGCTGTCAGTGCTCATCCATGCCACCTGCCAGTGCCCATCAGTGCCACATTTCAGTGCCCATCAGTGCCACATCAATGCCACATATCAGTGCCCATCTGAGCTGCCTTTCAGTGTCACCCATCAGTGCCACCCCTATCAATGCCAGTCAGTGCCACCTATCAATGCTTCCAATCAGTGCCGCCTATCAGTGCCTGTCAGTGCTGCCTGTCAGTGCCGCCTAACAGTGCCACCTATTAGTGCCAGTCAGTGCCACCTATCACTGCCATATTTGAGTTCTGCCTTTCAGTGCCCATCGGTGATGCCTGTCAATGCCCATCAGTGCCACCTACCAGTGCCTCCTCATCAGTGACCATCAGTGCCACCTATCAGTGTCCATCAGTGCAGCCTAGCAGTGCCTATCACTACAGCCTCATTAGCGCACATCAGTGAAGGAGAAAAATTACTTATTTACAAAATTTTATAACAAAAACTATGAAAAAAAATTTTGTTTTCAAAATTTTCAGTGGTTTTTGGTTTAAGAAAAAATAAAAAACCCAGAGGTGATTAAATACCACCAAAATAAAGCTCTATCTGTCACAAAAAAATGATAAAAATTTCATATGGGTACAGTGTTGCATGACCGCGCAATTGTCATTCAAAGTGTGAAAGAGCTGAAAGCTGGAAATTGGCCTAGGCAGGAAGGGGGTATAAGTGCCCTGTAGGCTAGTGGTTCAAAAACTGCCGACTACTAGGATTTTCACACACAACCATCTATAGGGTTTAAGGGAATAGTCCAAAAAAAAGACAATATCCAGAAAGCGGACGTTTTATGCACAAAAATGCCTTGTTGATGTCAGAGGTGAATGGGCAGGCTGATTCAGCTGTGACATTCAGATGGTAGGGTCAGAATTTGGCTGATGGTTGTGGTGTAATGGTGTGGGGGATTTTTTCTTGGCACTATCAAGGTCTACCTAATAAAGTGGCTGGTGAGTGTAACTTCAACTTTGTAAGTATTAAAATGCATTTATATAAAGATTTTATTAAAGAAAATAAAGAAATATAATTTCAAAAAGCAAAGTTATGTTGAATACTTTATGAGGGGCCTCTGACCAAGTGGTTTTTAGTATAGTAAAAGAAGTGCCAAGGATTTGACAATATCATTCATGTGACAATTTACCTTAACTGCCTTTCTCATGTTTTGTTCTAATTCCTTTAGGTGACTTTCAGTATAAGTACCGGATTCCCAGCATACTATGGAAAATCACAACCACACAGGCAGTGTGAGAGGAAAATAATTGAATAACAAAAGGCCCTGTGGCAAGGGGGGGAAGGCTGATGTCAGTGTGCAAACAATTTTGTAGATTCTATTTTTTATACATTTGAAATATAGGAATGGAACAAAAGATAATAATGAAATAGCAGAAAAAGAGCATTCATTTAGAGGCCTGCCGAGTGCAAGCACCCTCAGAGAAATTCATAAAGGGTCTTGAAGACATTTTAGAATTCTGTCAGAGTGCAGAACTGAAAGTATCAGTGATTGCACCCGATTCATGTACCTGTCAGAGACATGAATCTGTCTATGTCTGCACTGAGGTCAAAGTGTCCACACTGGACACACCTTCCTTAGTGCACTCCCACCCTCCCATGAACTAACAGGTGAATGTCAGTTTTGTACTAGGGTAGGTAGAGCCTGATGGGGAACTGAAAAACTATTTCCCCATCAGGTCTGCTTTAATTTTGATTGAGACTGCACGGCAGTGGGCAGATTCATAGCTGCTATTCAGCCATGAACTATCATTAAAAAGTAAAGCAGACCTGATGGAGAACCAGTTTCTCAGTTCCCCATCAGTCATTGCCCAAATATATCACTTGTATCCCCATTTATTTTTTATCTCTCAGTCGGGAAATCTACAGCTGAATAAGGCTGGGGTTGCAGCTCTATGCAGGAAGCTGTCACAATCATTACAGATTCCAAGCACTGGTGAGGTCTGCTCTAAGTACTGAAGCAGGGGCGGACTGACCATTTGGAAACTCGGGCACTGCTCGAAGGCCCGGTTTCAGTAGGGGGCCCCATGAGATGCCCCTGGTTCTTTTTTCATAGGCTTTTTTGAGTTTGGGCAAGGACACAGGGGCCCCATGATCCCCTATTGCCCCCATGAGTTGTCAGTCCGCCCCTGTACTGAAGTACCTCTGTACCCCAGCTCAGAAGTAATTAATTACCACTGGTTTCCTAAACTGAGAAATCTTGGTAATTCTTTAAGAATTTGTTGCTGCCATAGCAACAGATTCTTAAAATGGCGGTAGTGAGAACTACCTGAATTTGCTGCATGTGTAATGTTACCAACACTGGTGCATATGCTTGCCTGAAATAGGTAGCTCTTGAGGGAACTACTGCCAGAAGAGTGCCATTAATGCTGAATTCCCCTATTTATGTCCCAAGAACAATAATATAAAGATAAATTGTGTTGCATGAAAAAAAAAAAAGCTGAAAATCTATTATGTAACTGGCAATAAATTATTTCATGTAGTAGCTTCACTTGAAGAGCTGCTGCATAAAAAAAAGGTAGACAGCAGGCTTAGTCAGATTTTATGAGCACTATTACATGCAACAGTACAGCAATTGTCAATATATAAAACACAATCCAAGAAGGTAACTGATGATATAACATAGGAAAAGTAATAAAGACAGGACAGACCTCTCACATTGTATTTCTGTTGTCTTGCATTGTAATAAAGAGAGACAAAAGGTATCGGCTCTAGGAGCCAGTAGAGAAGGGTAATCCATCTTCTCAAAGAGATACTGCGGCCACATTATTGATTTCTGCCTTATGTATTCGTTTTTTACTCCTCTGGACTTCAAAGCTTGTTAATTAGAAGAATGCATTGGGATAGATGCCATTGGTGTATGATTAACTAGCAGCCAAACAGCCCTCTAATGAGTGGCATGCAGCTAGTAAACCACAATAAAAGATGTACAAATGACTGAAAGAAAGTGATGGTGAAAAGGTAGAAGGAACCCCATTTCTAAGGAACAAAAATAATGCCATTTATAGTGAATGCTATGGATTTGGTGGTACAGGCTATCAAAATTCTTGCTATCAGAATATCTAAGGAAATATAGTAATACATGAAGCAAACTGTAGAATGCTGAAACTTAAATAGGCTAAACATGTCTATAATGATCTAAAATGGATTTCTTTAAAGTCAGTTTACATTTGGTCATGAATAGTACCTGTGGTCCTGTGCTGTGTACTTAAGTAGCTCAGCCAGCTGAAGCGGATACTTGCAGATCTTCTGCACAGGTGTCAGAAGGAACCCATCAATGGCAATGTCAATCATTTGCTGCAGTAGTCGGCACGCTTCAAAGAAATGCTGGTACCTGCCGTCCTTCATCAGCTTGGAGAGTTCCATGCAGGCATCCAAATGATTATTACAGTACTCTGAGTATATCCAGAATCCATCTTGCTGCAGGAATAACAAGAAGTAGAGGGCATACAGATCAGAATCAATTCCAACTTTAGACCTATCATTATTCAAAACAATCACAGTCAAATAATTATCAGCTATAGTAACATTTTTTTTTTAAATGCACTGGTAAGATGCAAGGTTTTTCCAAGCCCTTGTATGAATACTTGTCTGCTTCAGTATGACATAGACTACGTCTTCCTCCTAACCTGCTATGTCTTTTATCTAACATCTCTGTCCAGTTTCAAACATTTCATTTCTAAGTGTATCTCTAGCAGAAATAGACTCTAGTTTTGGATAGAATAGGGTACAAATAAAAGTCCAGTTAGGATTTTTCTCATTTTTTTACTGTCATTGTACAATCTGACATACAGTTGCAAGAAAAAGTATGTGAACCCCTTGGGATTACGTGGAGTTTTGCATGAATTGGGCATAAAATGTTCTCTGAACGTCATCTAAGTCACAACAATAGAAGAACACAGTCTGCTGAACATAATACTACACAAACATTAGATGTTGCCATGGTTTAATTGCACATAACATGTAAACATTCACAGTGCAGGGAGGAAAAAGTATGTGAACCTTTGGACTTAATAACTGCTTGACCCTCCTTTGGCAGCAATAACCTCAACCAAACGTTTCCTGTAGTTGCAGATCAGACCTGCACAACGATCTGGAGTAATTTTGGACCACTCCTCTTCACAAAACTGTTTCAGTGTAGCAATATTCTTGGGATGTCTGGTGTGAATCGCTCTCTTAAGGTCATGCCACAGCATTTCAATCGGGTTGAGGTCAGGACTCTGACTGGGCCACTCCAGAAGGCGTATTCTGTGCTGTTGCAGCCATTGTTTTGTTGAATTACTTGTATGCTTTGGGTCATTGTCCTGTTGCATCACCCATCCTCTGCGGAGCTTCAGTTGGCGGACAGATGGTCGTACGTTTTCCTGCAAAATGTCTTGATAAACTCTGGAATTCATTTTCCCATCAATGACAACAATCCGTCCAGGCCCTGAGACAGCAAAGCAGCCCCAAACCATGATGCTCCCTCCGCCATGTTTCACAGTGGGGATGAGGTTTTGATGTTGGTGTGCTGTGCCTCTTTTTCTCCACACATAGTGTTGTGTGTTCTTCCCAAACAACTCAATCTTGGTTTCATCTGTCCACAGTATATTTTGCCAGTAGTGCTGTGGAACATCCAGGTGCTCTTTTGCAAACTTCAAACGTGCTGCAATATTCTTTTTGGACAGCAATGGCTTCCTCCGTGGTGTCCTCCCATGTACTCCATTCTTGTTTAATGTTTTCCTTATTGTAGATGTGTCAACAAAAATGTTAGCATGTGCCAGAGATTTCTGTAGGTCTTTAGCTTACACTCTGGGATTCTTCTTTACCTCATGCAGCATTCTGCGCTGTGCTCTTGCAGCCATTTTTACAGGACGACCACGCCTAGGGAGAGTAGCAACAGTGCTAAACTTTCTCCATTTGTAGACAGTCTGTCTTACCGTGGACACATGAACATCAAGGCTTTTGGAGATACTTTTGTAACCCTTTCCAGCTTCATGAAAGTCAACAATTCTTGATCATAGGTCTTCTGAGAGCTCTTTTCTGCGAGGCATGGTTCACATCAGACAGTGCTTCTTGAAACCAGTAAACCCAAAACAGGTGTGTGTTTTTTAAGGGCAGGACAGCTGACAGCAACACATCCAATATCATCACACTGATTGGAGTCAAGGTTGGCTCACTCCTGGCTCCAATTAGCACTGGGAGAAGTCATTAAGCTAGGGACTCACATACTTTTTCCTCACTGCACTGTGAATGTTTACATGTTATGTACAATTAAACCATGGCAACATCTAATGTTTGTGTAGTATTATGTTC